CTGTTTTTATCATGGAGACGAATAAATCTTACGTTTTCATTAAATTTGAATTAATTCATCTTCTCAAATAATCACTAACACGGATATTATGCAGAGCAACATATGCAAAAATGCTTCAATGTTTAGAATACTTCACTGATGAGAGAATCTTTTAATTCAAATTTAATGAAAACGTAAGATTTATTCGTCTCCACGATAAAAACAGTAGTAATGCCCTAATCTTATATTAAAAATGTATTATATCTTATGTGATTTATTTTATATTCATTGTTTATTTTAACGTAGAATATACATATAAATAATACATATTCATTCTTTTACTTAAGAACAATATATATACATAGTATTCTGACACTATCATATAGAACCCGTACGTACTTCATCCACATTCATCAGTATACAATATTAGATAAAATAATTTATCTTCTAGTGACTTCGAACTAGTATTGATGTCAATAGATCATCTCGGAAGTACATATGAATGCTTGTTGACTATCCGAGAGTTTCGCCTGCACTCAAGTGAGACTCATTATTATATTATGCATTCATAAGATTTAATCGAACTATGTCTATTTAAGTATGTACTGAGAGTACTTAGTAGAGTACATTGATAGCATCAGTCAATTATATGCAATTGTTCTTCTTATGTAAAGTACTTCAATATAGATATGTGAATACTGCTGCATGATTTCAAACGTTCTCGAAAATAGAAAATGATACGATCATGAAATAAAAAGAAATAGTGAATTAAGAAAATATAGTTTAAACTAATTGTTGTTCTTGTACAATTAAGTCTTCACATAAACTAATAACAACTGTGTATGTTATGTTTATATTATTTACTGGAAGTTCGTACAGATCCCAAGTGGTTATCATTATTAAGGTTAACATAACTTAGATTACATTTTTCATATTATTATGTTTTGTTTATAGTTTAATTTGAGAAAAAGAAAATAAAAATATCTTACATGAAATTCATATATTGTATAAGGATTTAATGGTTGTTTTGCAGCAATATATCCCGTTTGACGATTAATAATAAAATGTTGATTTGAATCAACAATTCTATAACGTACTTCAAGTTTTTTATCATAAACTTGATTATCTAATAATGCAATTATTTGAAATAAACGTTGTCTTAAACGTCCACTATGATATTGAATTTCAGGTAAATCAATATTATAAATTGATGAATAAATAAATTTCGGTATTAATTGATGTCGTCGTATAAGATGTATTTTTAAATAACAATTAGTTGAAAGTTTATATTGATTATCTGATGCATTTATTGTTAAAAAATAATTTGATTTTAATCGACGATTATTTTGTATTGTTGATAATAATTGTATAAAACCTTTTTGTTTATCAATTGAAAATATTTTATCATTTTTATCATTATCATTAATTGTATATTCAATAAAAGAATTTTTATTTAAAGATTTTGCTTCAATACGTGCAAATGGATATTCAATTGAATAATCATATGCTTTTACATTTTGATATATATCAATACATTGTGGTAAATAAAAATTTTCTTGTCGAATTGATATATGTATATGAATAAATGTATGTGGAGGATGAGCACGATAACGTGTTAAACGTATTGGAAGCCAATATGATGATTGAGATAAACCAATTAAAGAATTTGTTAAACGAAGATAACCTTAAAATAAAAACAATTAAAACGTTTTTGTGTTCATTTTAGACAAATTTTCTTTTAAGAGAAGCACTTAGATTTCTTTAACGATACTTCTAATCGAGTGCTTTTAGTCAAATGAGACAACACTTTAGTGAAGATTTCTTTTGGCAAGAAAAGATTTAATCGTAATGAATTTAATTCTATACTCCCCAAAAAAAAAAACTAGATTGTAGGAATGATACACACAATCTAGAAATTTGTGGAATAAACTTAGCCTGTATTTTGTAGGAGCAAAAGTTTGTAATTCTAAGAAGTTTATTTCGTACACTTTCCTAATCATAGTCTATTATCCATTTCTGAAAATAAGTCGCTTGGGCAGAATTCTTATAACTTTTGAAGGGAAAGTCATAGAGAGCTGCGGTTTTCACCGTTGGATAGAGAATATCAGGGCACATAAGTCTAGGTAAAAACCGATGGATCAATCCATCAAAATACTCGTTATCTGCGTCATCAAATTTAGATGAAAATTACATAAAATATGCCTATTCTTGAGATTTAACCTCAGTATACAACTGATTCACACATCAGATATACAGTAGATAGTGCCTCTGCATCATTTGAACTCAACAAGATAAAATGTTGAAGTTGCCCTTTTTGAAAGAGAAGGATTTCCTGTGAGAAAAAG